GAGTACAGACAGAGGAGATAGAAAAGCAAGAGTTTTTTTGCCCCAATCAACACAATTTATATCATTTAGGAGGCATGCTTCGACCCTACCTCTCAGGCCTAACCTGGGCTGAAACGGATGCAACATTCCAGCAAAAAGGAGAAATATTCTCCCCACTCTGGATTCGAACCAGTTCTCCTGGTAGCATCGGTGAAGCCAAAAAAACCCACCATACTACAGACATTGGTTCATATTATATCTGCTAAAGGACAAGTGTACTTTAAAGTCAACCATTGAATTTTTTCGATCAACAGCTTATTTTCTTCCTCAAAATGAAAAGCTTTGTAAAACATTTTTCTCTATTTCAAAAAGGACAAAAGATTAAAGGAAAAAGGAAAGTTTACGCCTTGAGGAGTTTATGCTATTCCCATTAATTGCAAGACGTTCTTTAAATTTAGAATGCTATCGGTAAGCCGCACTTTAGCGTCTTTTTACAATTCAATCGTGTGCTTTTATTTCTCGCCAACAAAAAACACAACAACAACCAAACATTAAGTCAGAAACATGTGTCCCTTTGTTAGTACAATTGGACAGTCTGATGAGCTTTCCACAAAACGAGCAATTACGGATGTTAAGATCGAGGAGATGTACAATAGAGACTACACCATACCTGTTGCCTCATGGCAGAACGACGTATCTAACAAAATCAAGGCTTTTGGTTATAATATTGGTTTATTATACTGCGGTACCTTAGAATTACAAAGTTCTATCAGACATTTTTGGCTGTTTTTGTCGTATTAAGACAACGAGGTCAGAAACCACATGTTGTATCAGCTCTATCAATATCGAAAGATTACTCCGAGTCGTTATTAAGATATTCAAAGAATTGCGTTCGGAAAAGCTTGACGTCAATTGTAAAATTCAAAATATCGTCAAATTTCCCAAAACTAGTTACTGTGCAAGTAGAACTTTATAATCCTAGGGTAGCGACTTGTAAACCCATACCCTCCTTGTGTCATAGGCTGGATGATGACGTTTACATCCGAAATAGTAGTATTTCTCAAAGTGGTAAGGTTGTGTAATATAGTAGAGAGTCTGATATCGATTACTTTGTATATGGCAGAGTGATCTATCCACATTTCAACTAACCCATTTTAAAAAGCATTAATAACGTTAGACAGGCAAAGCGTCAAAAGTGTTTTGACCTTTTCCCCAAATCATAAACTGAGCAGTTACGTCGCTGTGACGGGCCTTCTCTGTAGGGACGTTGTAACTTGTAACGCTCTCAGCTCGCATAGGCTCTGACAGGCTTAGCCAAAACAGCCTAATTTGTTTGTTTGTTTTGTATTGTTTTTTGGTAAGTGCTAATTACGGCGCTAGCAACTGCATAAGGTTATATTAGCACGTGGGACATATGAAACAATTCCAGTTTTGGTAGGATTTAATATTTAACTTTGCACGTGTGGCGGCCGAAGCCTACTCTTATCGATGTTGGACCTCCAAAGGAACTTGAACGCGCACAACATTAAACGGGGCCTCTTGAGATTTTTCGCCTAGATCCGTGAAGGCTAGGTCTTGAAACTTATCTAGCCTAGGATCAGGAGCATCGTTGAAGGGGAGTAAGAAAAGCCGAGGAGTAGCAGTAGAAAGAAGCCTAGTTTATCTATAATGTGTCAGAGTTTTTCTTTTTGGTGTTTTTGGGGGGAGTGGGAGGGCGTAAAACATCTACAACTATAATTACAACGACAATTACAATCGTATTCTTTGGAAATTACCAGAAAAAAAGCCCTGAAGATATCAAAAGACTGCTTTATAAGTAAAGGTATTTTCGGGAAACTCCCCCCGCTGTCCCCCCCCCCCCTCCCCCCTTTTTTTTTCTTAAAGAACGAGACTGATATATTCCCGCGTCAGCCCTTTGTGAGCTAATTTGTCAACACTCCATTGTTTGTGTTCTCCTATCAATTTTTCTTTTTTACACCCCCTCCCACCCCGCGCGCCTCGGTTGAGCATTTCGTTTAATCCTCTCCAAGTGGTCATATCCATCACAAGTTTAGTGGAAGAAGGGAAGTTTCTAGGAGAAACTAATGTTGGTGAGAATTATGAAAATGCATAGGTTTAAGACTACTTGCAACCCTGTTAGGTTATCAAAGACGTGGGTCATCGGCACTTAACGTCCATCTCCAACAGGACCGAGCAAAATGAAAAAGAATTCGTGTAAATGCCTTTGCCAAGGACACATCATCGGACTAAGCTGAATCTCGAACCCCTGAACCCGCAATCTCACGATTACGGTGCCTGAAGCCTAACCACCAGACAGCAGTCGTCACCCCAATGTCAGTAAATTGGCTCGTTGGAAGCAAACTATCTTCTGGAATGTGTTAGACGGAGGTTATTAAGGACAGTTATGAAAAGGATATGCAAATCTATAGCAAGAACGATATTTTTGGATACCACTGTGGGCGAAGGGGCGTGGAATGGGTGTAAAAGGAGATGAGTGGGCGGACACATTTCGGAGAAAAATATAAAGGATTCGAAAAAAAAAAACCAGTGCAGAGACGTCAAAATACACGAGAAAAAGGAACGGGAGAAAGAAGAGGGGCGACAAAGCTCCTAATCTCTACGTCACAGACGCCAGCAGAGCGACTCTGAAGAACAAGGAGAGGCTCGTACCTTTATTTATTACATACAGTTTAAGAAGAAGGCAAATAAGGCAGACATGAGAAATATGAACACTCGGAGGAAATAATAAAATTGTAGAATCTAGCTTGGTACATAATAATAGCAGGTCAAATACAGAAAACTGTAACCTTTTGTTTCTTTTTGAAAAATCGAACCTGAAAAAGAATTCATATTAATAATGTGACCGCCAAGATCACATCAAACCGGACGTCCTAATTTGCCCTACCTTGCAGAATAGATCATTAGATAAACTCTATGATATACAAAAATTACGCAGATTCCCAGCAGGGATCTCCTGACGCGTTCTGTTTTTAAACTAAACCCGTCTCTAAACAAGATAGATGTGCTTTCTGACGTCCACACAGGAACGTTATTTTCGTATGCAAAATACTCAAGATGTACATTGTGATGACAACCTATCCCGGCCAATCATTGCTTCACAATAGGTAAATCAATACATTGCCAATGATTGCGCGGCTAACGTCCAGCCCACGGTGTATATCAGAGACTGCAATTACAAAATCATATTTCGTATCGTCGTCTGGTCGAGTTTTCTGTATTTTCTTTTCCACCCTAGTGTCTACTTATTATGTTTTTACATGTTTTTCATCCCTCAAGTTATTTTTGTTTTGATCTGTGCGTGATGGAGATCTTGGCATCGCTTACACGGTCCTCAAGGAGACGAAAATCCATGCAGACCAAGGGACTATCTCGTGAAAACTATACTAGATTCTATATTTGTTTTAAAATGTAAACAGAAGAACTCTATGTTCACACAAAATTGAACACAGTGCAATGAGAGAAATTTGTGCTAATAATCTAATAGTATGTCATGGGAGGGGGGACTCTCTCTCTCTCTCTCTCTCTCTCTCTCTCTCTCTCTCTTTCTCTCTCTCTTTCTCTCTCTCTGTGTGTTTGTGTGTGTTTATATGTGTGTGTCTCTGTCTATCTACAAATAATAATAACAGATAGCATTTGTATAGCGCAAATCCCCGCTCAACAGCAAGCTCTATGCGCTTCACAATCTATACTAT